TCTCCAGCCACATTTTGTCTTCTGAAAATGTTAAAATCTCTTATTCATGTTGTATCAGTTAGAATGCTTCGGGTGCAAGTAGCAGAAAACTTAGACTACCATATACATTTAACTAATTAGGAAAGTTTTTCTCACGTGTGCTATGAAGCCCAGAGGTAAAGAAGTCCTTGTCCCCAAAGATTGGGATTAACTCTCCTTCTCTTCAGCCTTTGGCTTCATCCTCCAAATCGTATAGCAATTCCAGACACATCCCGATATAACAAGGCCAGATGAAACTGAGGACCGCCTTTTCCTTGTGTCAGTCTCTCTCTCTCTCTTTTTTTTTCTTAATAGACTATATGTTTTTAATGCAATTTTAGGTTCACAGTAAAATTGAGCAGAAGGAACAAAGATTTCCTATGTGCCTCCTGCTCCCACACGTGCATAACCTCCCCCTAGAGCAACAACCCCCATCAGAGCCTTGTGTCTCTTATTTTTTTTTAAAGCAGGATTTATTGAGAAGACAGAAAATCTCCCACATTGGGAGGAGACCCGAAGAGGTTGCCTGTGTCTTTTTTTTTTTTTTTTAAGTTGGAGTCTCACTCTCTCACCCAGACTAGAGTGCAGTGGCTGCTCCCGGCCACCACAGCCTCGACCTGCTGGGCTCCGGCGATCCTTCCGCTTCAGCCTTCCGAGTAGCCGGAATTACAGGCATGCGCTACCACGCCCGGCTGATTTTTTGATTTATTGTAGAGATGAGGTCTCGCTGTCCAGGCGGGTCTCGAACCCGCGGGCTCAGGCAATCCCCTCACCTCAGCCTCCCAAAGGTGCGGGATTACAGGTTGAGCCACTGAGCCCAGCTGTGTCTGTTTTTTAAAGTGAGAAAAATATTTCCAAAAGCTGTTCAACCCCCAAAATATTTATTTTAAAGTATTTATTGATTGATTTTTAGAGGTGGGGGCTCTTGCTGTATTGCCCAGGCTGGTCTTGAACTGGCCTAAAGAGATCCTCCCACCTCAGCCTCCCAAAGTGCTGGGATTACAGGCATGAGCCACCATGCCTGACCCTATCAAAAAATAATTTTTAAAAAATTCCTCATGCTCTTTTCTAAACCAGTCATTAGCAAGCAAGATGAAAGAGATTCCTGTTATGGGCTTAGAGGCTAAATATGTTGGAAAGCCACCACCATAACTGTCAACCATATCTCTGCTGATCTCTTTGTTCTTTAGAGCTAATGCCTTCTTTGATGCATTTACTGTCATTTTAATAGGATTTTGAAAGGGAGAAGAGATAAATGTATGTGATCCTTCTGCCCTCTTTCACAGGAAGTTCTTCACGTTTCCATTCTCTGCAGTATTATTCACTCTAGCCAAGATACCGACATGACCTAAGTAATGTTCACTGAGGGATGAAGGGATAAAGAAAATGTGGTATATACATACAATGGAATATTATTCAACCATAAAAAGAAGGCATCCCTGCCATTTTCAACCACATAGATGAAACTTGAGGGCGTTATGCTAAATGAAATAAGTCAGACAGCGAAAGACAACCACTGTGTGGTGCCACTTATATGTGAAACCTAAAAAAGGTCAGACTCAGAGAAACAGAGTAGAATGCTGGGTGCCAGGGAAGAAGGGATGGGAGACATGGTGTTTTCAACATTTTTAGTTATAAGATGAATTAGTTCTGGGAATCTGATATACAGCATGATGACTGTAGTTAACAATACTGTGTCATGTACTTGAAATTTGCTAAGTAAGTACATCTTAGCTGTTCTTACCACCAAAAAAAGGTAAGTGTGACATGATAGACATATTAGCTAACTTGATTGTGGTGATCATTTCCCAATGTATATATATATCACATACATCACATTGTATGCCTTAAATATATACAATTTTACTTATATATCATGATGATGATGGACGCTTCAAGAAGAGCCTGTTGGAAAGTTTCTAAATAAATGTTCATCGATAGAAAGTACATTAAATGAGTGATGATATATCTGTACTCTGGATTACTGGGGAATATTAAAAAATGATGATAGAGTTCTATACATGGAACGATTTCTACAACATCACTAGGATTTTAAAAAGCATGTCTCAAAATAGTATGTGCAGTGGGATCCAGTTCTTGCTTAAAGATACATAGGCGTGTGTATGCTCAGTAAAGAAGTCTGGAAGGATACACATCAAAATGCTAACAGCACTCAATCTTGGGTGGCAGAATTATGGATGCTGTTTGCTTTCTTTATATGTTCCGGCATCATGTAAATTGTTTGTCTATCACATCTTTAGCGGTAAGCAGACAATAGTGCTGTGGCCTCCCCTGCTATAGAAGAATAGGTATTGAGGAATGCCTGGGAGAGGTGTTCTTTGGATGACAGACTTTTAATATGCAGAAGAAATGGTGTCTTTGTGTTTATATGTATGGGAAGGTGGTTGTCAATAATAAATTGTCATTGCAACAGAATTATTGTAATGACGCTGGTAGACTACTTATAGCCTTGTTTTGTTTCTGTAGTAAAATACACATAACATAAAATTTGTCATTTTAGCCATTTTTAAGTGTACAGCTTAGTGGCATTAAATACATTCACAGTGCCCGTAATCCCAGCACTATGGGGAGCCACTATGGGGGGCCATGCTTGAGCCCAGGAATTCGAGATGAGCCTGGGCAACACAGTGAGACCTTGATTCTACCAAAAATCAAAAAATTAGCCGGGCGTGGAAGCAGGCACCTGGAGTCCCTGCTCTTTGGGAGGCTGAGGTGGAAGGATTGCCTGAGCCCAGGAGGTTGAAACTGTGGTGAGCCATGATACTGCCTCTGCACTCCAACCTGGGTGACAGAATGAGTCCTCAACTAAAAAAAAAATGCATTCACAGTGTTGGGCAATCATACTACCATCCTCCGCTAGAACTTTCTCATCATCTGCAGTTGAAACTGTGTACCCATTAAACACTAACTCCCCGTTCCTCCCTCTCTCCATCTCTTGATGACTACTGTGCTTTCTGTCTAGGTACCTCATATATGTGGAACCATCCAATATTTGTCTTTTGTGTCTGGCTTATTTCATTTAGTATGATGCCTTCAAGGGTCATCGTATTGTAGCATGTATCAGCATTGCATTCTCTTTTGAGGCTTGCATAGTATTCCATTGGCTGGATATACCACATTTTATCTCATCATCTGTCGATGGACATTTGAGTTGTTTCCACCTTAGTGGATTTGTTTTGAAGTGACTTTGCTTTTGGAATCTGGTTTTAATTCAGGTATTTGTGACCCAAAAGGTTTCAAAGCAACAAATAAAATGAGAGAGGAGGGTGACAGATCAACAGGGTGGCTTCATGAGATTTGAAGGGGCAGCTTTGAAAGCAGATAAACAATTTTTCATCTTTTTTTCCCCCCTAAAAAAATTCTTTTTCTCTCTATCCTTTGCCACCTCTCTCTGGCCAGTCCCCTGATAAAAGTGGAAAAGCAGTAAAAACTAATAACAGGCTGGGCTTGGTGGCTCAGCCTGTAATCCCAGCACTTTGGGAGGCCAAGGCGAGTGGATTGCCTGAGCCCACAGGTTCAAGACCAGCCCAGTAACTTGGTGAAATCTCGTCTCTACAATAAATCAAAAAAATCAGCAGGCATGGTAGCGCTCACCTGTAGTTCTGGCTACTTAGAAGGCTGGGGCAGAAGGATCGCCGGAGCCCAGCAGGTCACTCAGCCTGGGCGGCAGAGTGACACTCCAATTCAAACAAAACAAAACAAAACAAAGCAAAACAAAAACTAATAACAATAAACTGCAACTATTCCTCTTCTAACTATTCTACTAACGTGGATGTGTCTGGTTTGGGTTTTGTCTTGTGTTGTTTTTACTGCTTAGGAAGCATGGAGTGATACCTCTTATTGTGACATTGCTTTTTTCTAAGCTTATCTATAATTGAGATGACATCTGTTGGAATGTTTTATACACATGGATCTCATTCATTTCTTCATTGAGAAAAATATCTCCTCAACACCTGCTATGAGCCAACCATGCCCCACCGTGAGTAAAGTGGCTTATCAAAAATAAACTTGAAACACTCATTCCACGAAGAGACAAACTACACATGGCTCAGTACTAAGAAGTAGGCATGGCTCTGGGGTCAGGTACTAGTAGCTTGCCGCCAGGACAAAACCTTTTTTCATGTCAGTATGTCAACAGTTTCATAGTCATAGTTTCATAGTTTAGTAGCAAAGTAATAATGTGTTGCTTCATCACTGAGATTTGGGTGATTCCTGTGATCTTGTTTAGCTGCTTTATCTCCTTGTCAGGTTCCACTTCCAAAGGGAAGTAGTTATGTGGCAAATATTTACTTAATGCAAATGGGTGAATAGTTATCATGAATTCATGGAAGACTCGTTTTAGGTTCAGTTAACTCTCTGTCACATTCCTGTATCTGATATTGCACTTACACTGTTGGGCTTTTTTCTCCTTCTGTCACCTGCCCAGAGGCAGCAGGCAGTGATCTGACTTCCAGATCACTATAGAGAACTGGTCACTGTAAACATTTTGGCCTTCATTTTTTGCCTTGTGCAAAGTTGCCACTGGCCTGCCCTCCCTGACGCATTGGCAAGGCTACTCAGGAAGTTTTCTGAGTGCCTTTAAACTGGTGAATCTTGTTACCTCAGAAAAGTTTATTCTGGGTTGGGAGTGGTGCTCACACCTTTAATCCCAGCACTTTTAGAGGCCGAGGTGGGAGAATTGCTTGAGCCCAGCAGTTTAAGACCAGCCTGGACAACATAGAGAAACCTCATCTCTACAAAAAATCAAAAAATTATCTGGGCAGGGTGGCACACATCTGTAGTCCCAGCTACTCGGGAGGCTGAGGTGGGAGGATCACCTGAGCCCAGGAGATTAAGGCTGCCATGAGCCATGATCATTGTGATCATGCCACTGGACTCCAGATGGGCAACAGAGTGAAATCCTGACTCAAAAAGAAAAAAGAAAAAAAATGATTCTGATTGTTCTCCCCTCTTGTCCTTAGACCCTCCTCTGCAAATAGCATAAGCAGCAGCGCGTCTTCAAATCACAGCGGCTATACTCCAGAGCCCCCCGCACCCCCGGTTGGAGGTGACCTCGCCAGCCGACTGTCCAGTGATGAAGGGGAGATGGACGGAGCTGATGAATCCGAGAAGCTGGACTGTCAGTTCTCCACGCACCACCCTAGACCTCTTGCGGTAGGCCTCTTTCTGTTCCCTGCCTGCCTTTGCCCCTGTGCTTTGTAGGCATGGGTGGTTGCGTCAGAGACACATATTCCTGAGGAAAGGGCGCCAGTTTTACAAAAAGCCTTGCCCTGAGTTTGAAAAACTGCTTTGGAAATACCCTGGAGCATCGCAAAAGGAGAGTAGCAGGCTCCTGGCTGATTATAATCCTGAGTATTTGTGGTCCACCTTGAAGAGAGAATGCTTGAGAAGTAAGATTTATATAAGTATACGAGGGGCCAGGCATGGTGGCTCATACCTGTAGTCCCAGGGCTTTGAGAGGTTGAAACAGGAGGATGCTTGAAACCCAAGAATTTGAGACTCGCCAGGGCAACATAGCAAGACCCCAGCTCTACAAAAAATTAAAAATCAACTACACGCGGGGTGCCCACCTATAGTCTCATCTTGGGATGTTGAGGTGGTAGGATCACTTGGGCCCAGGAGGTTGAGGCTGAGGTGAGTTACGATCACACCACTGCACTCATCCTGGGGGACAGAGGGAGACTCTCAAAAAAAAGTGCACTTGGGAGCTGACCTCCTGGCCTTGGCCATCTAAAAATGGAGTCTCTGGATGTCCAGGGTTAGTCTGGCTCACCTGCTCTGGAAACTGGCAAACTGGATGTTTTAGCAGTATGTCAGGTGCCAGCATTCGCTGACATTCTCCCCTATTGGTTCTAAGTTTTATTGTTATTAGTAAATGTGACCATATGGCACCAGAACTAGTGTGTGTGTGTGTGTGTGTGTGTGTGTGTGTGTGTGTGTGTGTGTGTGTGTGTGTGTGTGTGTGTGTCTCCGGGAAAGAGGAAACATTTCAGGCCAGCATGATCACTGACCCAAAAAAGGATACATTCTTTCCAACCTCTTGAATGAGTCCACTTTACCAATTCAGAAGACCACTGAAATTGAGTTGGGAAATTGGAAGTGGCAGCTAGAGGCTTATGTTTGCATCTGAGAACCTGAAAAGGGACTTCCTGGTGCTGCCATCACAGAACCTAATACCAGAGTGGGGTGAGAGTGCCTAGAACACATAGCCCTACGGTGATTTACTCTGATGCCCACCTGAGCCCCCCAGGATCAGCCCTCACTCTCTCTAGATCTCAGGGATTGTAAGTGAAATCAATCCCGTATCAAGATAGAGGAAGTCAGGCTGGGCATGGTGGCTCATGCCTGTAATCCCAGCAAGAACAGCCTCGGCAACAGAGCAAGGCCTCATCTCTAAAAACAAAACAAAACAAAACACAATGCTGAGGTGGGAGGATCACTTGAACCCCAGGAGTTGGAGGCTGCGGTGAGCCATGATCTTACCATTGTACTCCAGCCTGGGTGACAGAGTGAGACCCAACTCAAAAAAAAAAAAATAAAAGAGTGAGTCCCTCTTCCCTTTATCTGTGTGATGAATGAAGGCCAAATTCACGTTCTGCTCCAGGGGTGATGGTTACCATCAACCTGAGACTCGCCTCTTGACAAGTACAAAAGTAGTCAGGGACGATCAGAAATACCTTTAGCCACCAGTAGCAGAAGACTCAACTCATCCAGCACAAGCACTAAGGTCATTCAGTTATCTAACATAGCAAGAAGAGGTAGGTGCTTCCCAGCGTGGTCCAGCGTCTCCTCAACATCATGGGAGGAGCCTCTGCAACTCTCCTTACCTTTCATGCATGGCCCCACCACGCCTGCTACAGCTGCAGGTTCATACCCTCGCCCAGTGGCATGCTACATGGAATAGAAAGGGACAAATGAAAAAGGGGTTCTCTTCCAAAATGCCATCTTCTGTTAGGAAAGAAAATCTTCCTGTGAAACCCACAGTAGACTTCCCCTTGTGTCTACCAGAAACACGTCATGTTACCACTCCTAAATGATCAGGGGCAGAGAAAAAAGGGATTGGGGTGATACAAGACGAAACCAGCCATGATTGATCCCAAGATTCTGGGAGGAGACCCGCCTTCCCGGATGACTTCTCTGTCAGAGATCAGAACAGAAGTGTGGATCTGTTAGCAAGGAAAACACAGGGAGAGGCAGGAGTGGGTGGCAGTTTGTGAGGTTGGCGACCAGTCGGGTCTGCCACGGTGGCCATTGCACTGAGGATCTGCAGTCCTGTGGAGGGCTTAACAGGCCAGCCAGAAGCAGGAACCTCTTGGGGACCCCCAGCCTTGCATCTATATGGAATTAGATAAAAACAGTGCTGCCAGCTCCTGAGAGAGATGCAAGGCTCTACCAAACTCTGCAGCGCATCAAGACATTTGTCCAAATGATAAGCTGCCAGGCTATAGTGGATTAGCTAACCTGGGACACGGTGCTTCTGTGTGCCCTTAACGTTTTGCTGATTTCAGTGGAAAGGCCATGGATATGTTTCTTTGCTTTGTCCTGTCTCTCATGGCCAGTTGATATGTTAAATCATCCTTGGTAGTGAATACCTGCTCAGTGCGTCTTTCGCAATTAGGATGAATGGGATAAGGAATAAATGATGTCTAGACCAGGAACAGCTCCCGTGTGCTGCCAGGGACCAGCATTCTTCATGTCAGAGAATTCCCTTTATATGTTTTCTTGCTTGGTCAGTAAGCACTTTACGTGAAGATGCAGAAAAGTGTTTTTCACCAGTGGTACCAGATCTGATGGGTGGCAAGATTTTAATGCAAAGTCCCCAAAACACAAGAGAAACAGAACAAAGGGAAGGTCTTGCGTTTCCTCCTGAGAGCCGTTCCAAAGGCAGCTCCAGGATGGGTTTGTGGAATGAGTGCCAGTCCAGCCCTGTGTCTGGGATGAAGGCCAGCGAGCTGCTGGGAGGCCTGGAGGGAAGTGGGGAAGCTGCTTTTGAGTTATAGAGTCATTTGCAGACTCGCTTGAGCTCTAAACCAGCCAAATGTCACCTTCTCAGAGGCCACGTCTTGCGTTTCTGTCTACTGGTCTTCCGGTTGTCCTAACATCATAATCAAATGGCGTTTATTAAACATCTGAATGCCGATATTTCAGCCATCTGTTTTAAGTGCGATACTGTGCTTTAAACATTTAGTGGGTCCTTGTCTTCCCAATCTGTTTTTTATCCCAAATCTCTGCTGCCCTCATACTGAGGAGGAGGAGGAAGAGTATGGGATTCCCCTGTGTATACATTGATAGTCGAGTCAGGTATGTAGGTATTCTACATATATTTAAATAACACGAAACAGCCATGTAGCACATCCAAGGCAAGTGAAATAAAGTATGCATTAGGTGTGCTGTGGGAACTCACAGTGGGAAGATTAATCAGATGAGGGCCACTGGAAATGAGAAGCCTGATCAGGAACCAGAGAGAGGGGAAGATAGAGACTGACAAAAAGAAGGGGGAAGGAGACAGCAGGCAGAGAGAACAGCGTGAGGCTGTGATGCCCCAAGACAGCCTTCGAGGACTAGTAGGAGGCAGAGATGAGGTCAGGACTGGGGAAGGAAGGCAGCTGGCCTGGCTCTGACCACATCCGATAGGAAAGGTGTGACCCGGGACACCAGCACAAGCAGTTTCCATTACTATGATGAGAAGCAGGGAACTAAGAAGTTCCTGGAGAAGATGGGCATATGATGAATAAGTGCTAAAAAATCTCCCTGGCTGTTGTTTGTTTCTTCACCTAAAATGCTGGCTTAGTCCCAGGAGGAGAGAATGTAGCCCCTTCAGCACCGCAGAAAATTCAGTATAGCTATTGTTGAGTTATAATGTAAGGTTCTGCAGAAAAACCTAGAGCTCAAACCACATCACTGCAGAAATATTTTTAGCTTCAGTACTATTTGCTTCTTTATTTTGAGTAAAATGGTGCCCCTGTGTGTTTTTATGCAAATGTTATTTTTCTCTGTATAGTTTATATTAGCTTATTAACCTGTAATCAAAATTAAAAATTTTTTTTCTCACAGTTTTGTTCATTTGGGAGTCGCCTCATGGGACGAGGGTACTATGTGTTTGATAGAAGATGGGATCGTTTTCGATTCGCACTAAACTCCATGGTAGAAAAACACCTGAATTCACAGATGTGGAAGTAAGTGAGCGATTTTTGTGCAATATAAGATCATAGCTGCCCCAGAATGATCTCAACCCTAACTTTCTAAATAAATTTCAGTGGTTGGCTTTTCATAGAACAAAATGATTCTGAAATCAAGGTTTGGGATTAATTCTTAAATGTCAGCTCTTCTTAATGGTTTGCCTGAAGTGTTTTAGAGACACAGATGTGACGGATGCTGGATGCTTTGTCTTCTCTGGAGACCAGTTTTGTGTTGGTAATCTTCTAAACTAAATGAAAAGGATATTAGATAAGATCTTGTTTATGTAATAGTGTTAAATGGACTTTTTATTTCTCCTAAAGCCTCTAAGGATATTAAGGATATGCTTCTGTTTGTACTGCTAATGCTATCTTATCAATACTAAAGATTTCAAAATGGCTACGGACCAATTTCCAGTTGTTTGCTGTCTGTGAGAACATATGCACAGTTGCCAACAGGGCAGGCCCTGAGCAATGTCGCGAAGGTGGTTAAGTTTGTCTTTGGCCCTTCCCTGGGGGGGGGGTCTCCCCAGAACCCCCTCCTACCTCTGCTTGTACTTCTTTCTACTCTAAACTCCGACTTATGTTTCATTTTCCCGAGATCCCTTTATTCTCCCGCACTTCCCAATGCGCTTACGTTTTGATAGGGGATTTTTAAAAAAGGAAAGAAACTTTGATTTGGTAGAATGCTGTTGGGAAGAAATAACAGGCTTAGACCATCTCCCACCACAGCACATAAGGGTAGGATCCGATAGGAAAGGTGTGACCCGGCCACTTTGGCTACTTGATCATGGAAGGGCAGCCCACTGGGTAGCCCTGTCCCCCATCCCTATGTAGGTGGGCTCTCAAGATATTATAATCCATTCGAATCACGGATCATGTCTGGACCTAGATGATCCAGGAAGGCCAACAGCCGAGGCCCTCACCCTGTCCACTAAGGCCCAGGAGAGACAAGGCAGGGACTCCTAAGACACGAGAAGGGAACAGAATTCAAAACTTGCCCCTCTCCCGGGCTTCCTCCTCTCTCCCAGGCAGCTATGGCACCTCAGCCCCCTTTCTGGAAGCCTAAAGCACTTCAGACCTGAACTTCTAGGAGAAGGGAGCCCCACCAGCGTCCACATTGGGGTTCTCGTGGTTGACATTTAATACGAGGTAGGAAAGGGCCACAAGAGAAGCTTATCATTTCTTCCTGTCTCAGGGACTGCCCAGTGTGTCCGAAAGGCGCCCTTGATACCTACTTGTGTCCGTTCCGAACAGCCACCGGCTGGCGCTGCATGTGGGATGAGTGTGATCTTGGTTATTTGGTGATTGATTCCTTCTGCCTTGTTCCCCAAGATGGCAGCCAGCCCCGGAGATTCTCGCAGCTCTGTGCTCTCCTGTGTTGTGGACGTGTCAACCCCGGACACGTGGAAGGAATGTGTTGATCTGTATTGCGCTCCCTGGTGTCCTGTCAGCTCAAGCTCCATATTCCTTTCCTCCTCAGGCACAGAAGCCCGAGCCACAGGGCATCAGGTCCCTCCCCCCTGTTCAGGACTTGCCTAACCAATCTGCTGTCACTGAGCAACATTGGGGCTGCCTGGGTGTCAACTCTGGAGAGCGTAGCACCCCGCTGCCCTCTCAGCCTCGCTGCCCAAACCCCAGGCCCCGACGGGCCCGAACCTGGAGGGATGGCAGCCGATGGGGGCGTGGAAGACATTAGGAAGAAAAGGAACGGCCAAGACTCTTTTTTCTTTAACAAGCATTTAACTCTGCATCAGGAGACGCCAACACAGTATTCTCTTTCAGCCAGGTCAGCATCTGGACCCCCCGTGCCACCTGGCAGGGGAGGATGGGCACTGTCAGTAATTTATTCGCATCTATGGGCTTTAGTACGGACTTCCCTAGGCCAGTGTGAAAAGTTTAAACCCAGGCCCTTCCCAGCAAAGCTGAAACCTACTGCTGCTCAGCACCTAGAAAAACACATAAACCATTTAGCATGGGTGGTGGCGGGGGGCGGGTGTAGGGACTCCCAGGGACAGTGAGCGGCCATATGCCCCTCGCCCTGCTTCTCCCCTGCCCTGTCTCCCCTCCTGCCCCTGCTATCCACTTTTGATTAGCCGAGAGAGGAAGGAAAGGGATAGAAAGTATGCCCCAAAATAGCACCCGTCCCAATCCCGAGCATCAGCCAGGTAAGACTTAGGACTTCAACTCTGCCGGTCAGCACGAGTTGAAGCAATAATTTATGCTCTTTCGTGGAAAACCATACATTGGGACGTGGAAAGTGGATCCCATCCAATGCCATCGATTGGGATCCTCTCTAAATGAGCCATCTGGTATTTATTTGTAAACAGCTTTTTATTACAAGCAACTGCCAAACCTCTGCCCACATGTCTTTCTATCTATACTTTAGCTGGTAAGGAAACTGGAGTCAAGGAAAGATTGAGTGGGATGCCCGTAGTACCACAGCAAGGCAACAAGACAGCCGGCAAGTGTGGCGGTGCCTCACACTCTAAGCGGTGTTCCCTTGCCCTGTTGGGAAGGGGCCATGCAGTGCCAGAGAGTCCTCAGGATGTGTACAGACCTTTCCAGTCTGATGATATGGGAGTCCTTGCCCAGCATGCGTAGTCCCTGACTATACGGTTCTGTTGCTGCTGAGAATTCACCCGCTCACTCATCCACCCACCCATCCATCCATCCATTCATTCACTCATCCGTTCATTGCAACAAGTGTTGGTGGAGCACCACATTCAGTGCTGACAGGACCGCTTACCTTCTGTAGGCTTGCGAGAAGGTACATTCTCAAATACCGTCATGGCCGCTGTGGGCCTGGCCACATTTTTCTCTTATAGTTGATCTCCCTGATCTGACATTTTCAAGGACACTGTGCTTCTGTATTCAAGGACGCCTCTGGATTCCGCCCTAAAGATGGAAGCCACAGGCTCCACTAGAGTGCAAGCTGAAAATGGAATCTTCAGAGGGAGGAAGGCTAGGAGAAGGAGTCCCTGCTCGGTGGGGCCTCATCCTGGAGTCCCCCGGCACCTAGTCCTGATGCTACAGCTGGGAGGGTGGCCTCCAAAGAAGAGAAGGGATGGTGTGATACCCTGTCTTACACCGTATTCCAAGCCCACTAGAGTGCAGGTCCCGGGCCTGCTCACCTTCACGGGCGGCTCGCAAAGAAGGAAAGCTAGTTCCTAATTGCTGGTGAGCCCCAGCTACACTGAACTGATTTCCCAGGGGAACAGGGAGGGGGAGCAAGGCGAGAAATAGGAAGGAACCAGCTTGAAAACATTCACTTGGCTCCTGAGGGCAGTAGACTTTCCTGCAAAATCAGGAACAGATGGTGACCCCGTGGCCGCCGTGCCTCCTCCTGGTCCCCAGAGTACAGCAGCAGTGATTCAGGCCATAGATGGAAAGTAGGACCCGTTTCCAGCACAAGTCAAAAGATGGAGTTGCCAGGAGGCCCCAAGAGTGAGCCACTGCCTCTTGCTGGCTTTGGCTCTGGGGAGCTTGCTCTGAGACGCCTCCCCCACTGCCCGCAAGCTTCAAGAAAACCGAAGAAGAGAACAGTGGGTTTCCCCTCCCCACCCATATATTCCTTTCCTGTCCATATCCTGCATTTATCTTCAGGACAAACTAGAAGCCCCAATGCCCTTCTCTGGACACAGGAGGGTCTCCACAGTCACCTTTTCCTAGTACAGGTACAAGAGGGTCTGCTAAAGGTCATCAACACCCTCACAGGAACAGGGACTAAGGTAGGGTGTGGTGAATAGGGGAAAAAAATCAATCCTGGGTATGGGCAACTTGACATTGCATGATTACCCAAGCCCTTGATCCCGCTGGGCCACCGGGAGCCCACAGCCAGGAGCAAATGTGGATATGGCTCTCTTCAGAGTAAACCAGAGGCTGCAGACAGCCATTGCAAGAGGAGGCTGGCCTGTGAGAAGAAGGGTGTTCCCAGGTTGCCTCCAGCCCAGAGCAGGGTGGGGAAGCAGGGGACAGGAAGGGGGCCGAGAAACCCTGGACAGAGACTGCAGTGAGTGGAGGGGGAAGCTCTGGCCCATGTGTGCAAGTAGCAAAGTCCCATCCTCAAATTTCTTCAAACCAGGACCTACATGTGGGATGACCACTTCTCATTAAAAGCCACTTCCAAGGCCAAATGTGGTGGCTCATGCCTGTAATCCCAGCACTTTGAGGGGCTGAGGCAGGAGGATTGCTTGAGTCCAGGAGTTCACAATCAGCCTAGGCAACATAGGGAGACGTCACCTCTACAAAAAATCAAAATATTAGTCAGGCATGGTGGTATGCCTCTGTAGTCCCAGCTACTTGGGAAACTGAGGCAAGAGGATCACTTGAGCCCAGGAGGCCGAGGCTACAGTGAGCCATGATTGTGCCACTGCACTCCAGCTTGGGGAACAGAGTGAGACCCCAACTTAAAAAAGAGAGAGAGAAGATGGGCTCGGTGGCTCAGCCTGTAATCCCGCGCCTTTGGGAGGCTGAGGTGAGTGGATTGCCTGAGCCTGTGGGTTCGAGACCCTGCTGGGCAGCGAGACCTCATCTCTACAATAAATCAAAAAATCAGCTGGGCGTGGTAGCACATGCCTGTAATTCCTGCTACTGGGAAGGCTGAGGCAAAAGGATCGGAGCCCAGCAGGTCGAGGCTGCGGTGGCCGGGAGCGGCCACTGCACTCCAGTCTGGGTGACAGAGTGAGATTCCATCTCAAAAAAAAAAAGAGAAAGGGAGATAGAAAGAGAATCCTGCTGGGGAAACTTATATTCTAAACAACACTTTGCCTTTTATTCATGCACCCAAATCAGCCCTTCTCTAGGAGCCAAGCACAGAGAGGAGGGTCTGAAAACCTGAGAGTGCTTAAAATTAGGTTGCCGGATGTTGCAATGGGGCACCATAAGGAAGGGCCATGCTTCAGATTTTACCATCTTCAAGGCTTCATTCTCCATAGTCTGGTTCTGCCGGGGTGTCCTCTGTAGCCTTGCCGTCACACTTCATCGAGCCTCCCGAGCAATGCCAACCCGACGTCTCACTGTTTCTTTTCACTCTTCTCTCACGTTTAGGAAGATCCCTCCTGCGGCAGATAGCCCCCTGCCCTCGCCAGCAGCCCACATCACCACCCCTGTTCCAGCATCCGTTTTGCAGCCTTTCAGCAACCCCAGTGCTGTGTATCTTCCTTCAGCTCCCATCAGCTCGAGGCTCACCTCTTCTTACATAATGACATCAGCCATGCTCTCAAACGCAGCTTTTGTGGCATCGCCGGACCCAAGCGCCCTCATGTCCCACACCACAGCTTTCCCTCATGTGGCCGCAACCCTCAGCATCATGGACTCAACCTTCAAGGCCCCATCCGCCGTGTCCCCGATACCAGCCGTCATTCCTCCCCCATCCCACAAGCCATCCAAAACCAAAACCAGCAAATCCTCAAAAGTCAAAGACCTGCCCACCCGTAGCGACGAGTCTCCAAGTAACAAAAAGAGGAAGCCACAGTCTTCGACTTCCTCCTCCTCCTCCTCCTCCTCCTCCTCCTCCTTATCCTTACAGACACCCCTCTCGTCTCCACTGTCAGGGCCCCACAGAAAGAACTGTGTGCTGAGTGCCAGTTCTGCTTTGAACTCCTATCAGGCAGCCCCTCCCTATAACAGCCTGTCTGTGCACAACTCAAACAATGGGATGAGCCCACTCAGTGCCAAACTGGAGCCCTCAGGACGGACCTCGCTGCCCGGCGGCCCCGCGGACATAGTGAGACAGGTGGGCACGGTGGGAGGCAGCAGTGACTCCTGTCCCCTCTCTGTGCCCTCCCTTGCGCTCCACGCAGGGGACCTCTCTCTGGCCTCACACAATGCCGTGTCTTCTCTGCCCCTCTCTTTTGACAAATCAGAAGGAAAAAAGCGTAAGAACTCGAGTTCTAGTAGCAAAGCCTGTAAAATCACTAAAATGCCTGGTATGAATAGCGTTCACAAAAAGAACCCGCCCAGCCTTCTTGCACCGGTGCCCGATCCCGTTAACAGCACCTCCTCTCGGCAGGTAAGGGACCGCCTGGCACTGCCTTCACCAGCTCTGGGGGGCAGGGGGAGCTGGGCCACGCCCCTGCATAGCCAGGTGGCTCAGACAGGTAACACAAGCATGACTCCTTTCCTTGTTTTCCCCGAAGGCAATTGTCACCCTCCGCTTTGAGAGCAATTTATTGTTTAACAAATACCTGATACAACTCTATGTGCGAGGCACTGTTCTGAGCACTTTACAGATATCACCTCGTTGAGTCCTCATGACACCCCTGTGCAGTTGGTACAGTTGTTATCACCACTTTCAAGACGAGTAAATGGAGGCACAGAGAGACTCTGAGCCCCCCACTCCACATCCGTTGGTTTTATATTTTGAGGTTCTGAGGACGTTGTCATTAGAGAGTTCCGTGGCTAAGAAGTTTGATCTGATCTGTTGGAATTCCCTTAGGAAGAGCTCAAGGCCCGGCCAGGGTAAATGTGACCTGGGGTTCCACCTGGAGAGTGGGAGCCTGTGTGCCCCGGCTCCCCGGTGACTGTCCATCTTACTTCACCAGGCTGCCTCGATTCCCACCACCTCCCAGTATAACTCTTTCCTTCCGAAAGGAAAAGTGCAGCTCCCACCAACTAGCAAAGGAGTGTTTGATGTCATCGTGCGTGTGGAAGTGTGGACCATGAGGGAGCTGAGGAAATATGGTGCGGGCCGAGGAGAACACGTGTTTCTGTCTCTCGAGCTCTGTCCTCAACCCCCCGTCTAATCTTTCTCCTCGGGCTGGGGAAGCAAGCTACTGAGTAAAGCCCACCACCACCCCTGCCTCAGACTCTGGTGCCACTTGGGCCTAGACGGAGCAGAAGCGGGGAGGGGCCCAGCCCGGAAGTCCTTGTGGGCAAGAGGGCCATCTGGCCCGCCCAAGAGCCTGTCCCTGCCAAGAGAGCGTGTCCAGAGACTGTAGCCCAGAATTCAGGGGGGCCAAACCCCAAGCCCAGCCCCGACTAGGGATGAGGACTTTGGAGGGATGGGAGGCAGTTGTTAAAAAGATGTTTTAATGTTTTATGTCACCGTTTATGAGATTTGGTATAACCTCACGAAGAGCACATCCTGAGGGGGCTTCACAAATCACAAGTAAACACTTGAGAAACAGCAAGTTTGGAACCCAAGGGCCAGACAAGCTGCAAACCGAGGCCAAGGTGAGAGGAGGGGGAGACACAGGTCCTCGTGCTAGAGCCTGGGGCACCGTTCTGACTCCCCCCTCCCGGGGGTGGGGGGGAGGGGGGCCAGCACCCACAGGGCTCTACCTGGAGACCAAATTGCTGGTCGGTGCCACCTCCAGGACTCAGGACGGAGGGCAGAGGCAGGGCGTCTCAAACTTGAATATGCACACAAATCCCCTGGCAGGGGGAGGGCTTGTGAAAAAGATTCTGAGTTAGCAGGCCTGGGCTAGGACCTAAGGGTCCACATTTCTAATAGCCTCCCAGGCAGTGCCACTGCACCGATTTGCAGGCCACACCTTGAACAGCAAGGCTGTAGCCTCTCACTCATTTTAGGTGAAGTTCCAGTAGCTAACGCTTACGTGATGGGCTCTGTGCCAAGCACTTCAGGAATATTAATGTATTTTATAACTACCTACTATTGCTCCCATCTTACAGATGAGTAAACCAAGGCACAGGAAGGTTAAGCAAAGTACCAAGTCACACAGCAAGTAAATAGTAGGGCTGGGATTTGAGCCCAGGCATCTTGGCCCTGGAGTCTGGTCTCTTAGCCTCCATGACTTTAATGGAGCTGTCTGTGTCAAGGAAATTATTGGGTCTGCAGGACCATACGAAATGCTTAGTAAACACACGGAATCAGCCGGAGGGAAATGAAACAGACTAGTGCTCATCAGGAGGGGAACTAAAAATACTGATGGGTTTAACCACTACCTGGGAGTGGTCGGATTGGTTCTCTAATGCAGGTAATACCGCAGTGCTTGTCCCCAGGGTATTAAGAAAAGGCTTCGCCCAGGGTCACCAGCAGTGACCCCCAAATGCTGGGAAAAGACAAAGGCCCTTGGGATCTGGGTGAATTCTGCTAGGAGACTGGGAGAGGGGAAGCATGAAGCTGAGAAATCCAAGCTAAACCTGTGCCTTGGGGAAACTTGGGGATCCCTTTGACCGTAGGTGTCAGGCCAAAAACTGCCACGGAGTGATTACAATGAACAGATAACAAGACTGTGAATGTAAGGCAACCCTTTATGCAAGATGAGTTCATGTAGAGGAGGAGCTGTTTCTAGGCCAAGGGCAAGCACTGCCTTTGCAAGCCAGACAGGGATGGTTACAGGGCGTGCCTGGCATCGGCTGCTGAGGACCCAGCCCACCCTGGGCCAAGGACAGTCACAGAGGAAGGGGAAGAGCACACAGCCACGCCCACATGCCCAGTCCTGCAGTTCCAGGGTCCCAGGCACAGTGGTCCTGCCCACCCCTCCACAGGAAAGGGAGGCTGTTTTGCTGGAGAACCGCAGAGTACGTGCTATGGCTATGGCTCCTGACTGGGAAGACGCCCAGCACGAGACCCAGGTGTTTTGTTCTGCAGCTGGTCCAAGGGAATCTGGGCCTGGGGGTAAAAGTGGATGAGCTGTGTCACCCTTTGGCCTCAGGTGGGAAAGTTGGGCCTCTGCTGATTTGAGTGCTCCCTGGAGGAGCCATATACCCAGTCCTCATCCCTGCCCTGCAGGCTGTCCACCTGGGGAGCAGAAGTGAGAGTTCTCCAGCATTCCATTTTTCCTCTGGGAAGGAGAGGGGCATCCTTGAGGCACCCTCACAAACATGTTTATTTTCTCTGCCATTTAAGATGGAAACACCAGTTCCCAGCTGACTGCAGGGATGAGGCACGTACCTTGCAGCCCTTCTCCCTCCCCCTAGCAACATGTGGTGTCAGCGGACCTTTCCCGGCTGGCTCGTATGTCTGAGCGGGGCTTCGCTGGTGTCTTTCAGGTGGGGAAAAATAGCAGCCTAGCTTTGTCACAATCCAGTCCTTCAAGCATATCCAGCCCAGGACACAGCCGACAGGTAAGTTCCTGGGGGACAGAAGTGCATAGGGTCATCTGCAGGGTGGGAAGAGTGTGACCATTGGGGTCAGATCCTGGTCCAAATCTAGGCCTTCTGGTTATGAGCTGTGTGCCCTCTGGCAAGTTACTTAACTTCTCCGCACGTCCATTTCCTCTGTCTATAAAGTGGGGATCCTCATGGCCGCTACCTCATATGGCTTCTGTGAGGATTAGTTCATTCACATCAAGACTCTAGAAAATGCCTGGCACATCACACACATACACACACACACGCACACACACACGTTAGCTATTATTACTATCACCAGCTGTGTGATCTTAGGCAGAATACTTCTCTGGGTCTCAGTTTTCTCATCTGTTAAATGGCAAAATTGATGCCTGCCTCCTAAGGCTATGGTGAAAATTAAACATGATGTTGATTAAAGGGCCTTCTCCATTGTATATATCGATCAGCACTTTCTCAAAAGCCTCCAGTGTCATGGTGGAAATATTTAGGATAGACTTAGCAGTTTTTATAAACTTGAAACTTGAGGTGTGAGCGTTGTCAATGTGTACTCCCAATGATGGATGATTTCCTCAATGGAGTATGCACACGTGTGTGTGTGTGTGTGTGTGTGTGTGTGTGTGTGTGTCTGGAGGACTTCAGGGACCATTAGATAGTGGGGTTGTGCCTGTTATCCATTATTGGGAAATATACAGAGGGTGCCAAAAACATGTATACACATTTTAAGAAAGAAAAAATCTGTATTAAAATTGCAATACTCAGCCAGGTGGGGTGGTTCACACCTGTAGTCCAAGCCCTTTGGGAGGTGGAGGCAAGAAGATTGCCTTAGCCCAGGGGTCTGAGACCAGCCTGGGCAACTTGGCAAAACGTTGTCTCTAAAATAAATTTTTTAAAAAAATTAGCCAAGTGTGGTGGTGCGGGCCTGTGATTCCAGTTACTTGGAAGGCTGAGGCAGAAGGATCGTCTGAGTCCAGCAGTCGAGGCTGCAGTTGCCGTGAGCGGGCCACTGCACTCCAGCCTGGGTGACAGAGTGAGACTTCAACTGAAAAAAAGAAAAAAGGAATACTCAATATAGATGGATAACAAAAGATGAATACAAGTGACGTTTGATTTCTGATTACACAAGGTGCTCAAAGTGGTTCCCATCAGTTTCCAGACACTTCTGATTACAGCAAGCTGAAAGTAGTTCATAGGTAACATCTTTTAAAATGTGCATACACTTTTCTGGCACCCCCATACATGTGTATACATAAAGCCATGTTGTTTTGCTGTCTTAGATGTGCCGCCATATGTTTTGTAGGCACAATTAACAATGTGTTTGCATTTTGCCCTATGGAATTTTTTCACAGATCTTGGGCAGAGTTTGGGCAAAGATTCAGGGGAAGCAGTTTTTCTATCTCCAAGTCAAGGAGGGTCTCAATAGCCGTTTTTATGCTAGAGCACCTGTCGCCCGTCCTCTGTGCTGGGAAGGGAGGGAGGCATGTTTCTGCTCAATCAGCCTCTGTTCATGGGACCTCTTGCAAAGGTTGCTGTGGGTATCTGGAGACACTGGAAACCCAAAATGCTGTCAATCAGTCATAACAAGTATGCTAATAATATCCCAATAGCTACCACTTCTTGAGCCCTTTCTCTGCAAGCCCTGCCCATGCTCCTTACACCCCTTCCACACATTTAAACCTTTTAGCAACCATGTGAGGATGGGTGAAGGTGGCTGTAATCAGAAGCTAAGTAACTTGACCCCAGACTTGTCTCTCCACCTCCGTCTGCAAAGCCCAACCCTGTGCTCCTTCCCTCAGATCGTTCACTATGTTGTCTGTAGGTTATGTAGGAAAAGGTGAGCTCACAGGGAAACAAAGGAAGATATCAGTCATTCCATCCACTCTCCTGAAGAGGAATCTCGTGGATGTTCACAGGCTTTGTCCCTGCCTTTTCCTCCACGGCGAGGAGCTTTGTGACTACCTTGCATAGATGAAGTCCTTACCTCCGTCACCTCATTTGCTCTTACAGCTGCACTTTGCCATGTACAAGAGGTGGGATATTTCCTTTCTATTAGAGATGAGAAAACTGAGGCTCCATCCTTGAATTTTCATCTCAAATGCTTGATTTTGAAACAAATTTTTCTTTTCTTTCCTAGAAGAACGCGAACAGAACGGGCAGGATAAGGACTCTTCCATAACAAGACTATGAAGCCACTTCCAAATCAATTCCAGGCCACCTGATCCCACTCCAGGAGGCCATGGGAAGGAGGAGGGAGGGGAGGGGAGTGGGCTGTGGGGGAGCATCTATTTCCTGTGCCCTGCCTGTGGCTCTGGCCTTTCTTCCTTTTTTTTTTTTTTTTTAATTGACTGATTTTCATTTTAAAGAAAAAGG